CACTCCCAGGCACAGCTTGAGTGCCATGCTCAGCAGCTGCGTGGGAGAGACCCACCTGAACTTCTGGAATTCATCATGTTCATCACAAGTGGTAGTTATCACTGAGCTAGAGTTCTGAGCTTGGGCACAGAGCTTGTTGTCTTCATTATAGATTGAAAATATTCCCCTACCTATAAAATACAATGATAATGCAAACATTTGAGGAGAGGTTTCTTAGGAGATAAAGTCAGTTAGTTGCTATATGACAGTCTGCTACCAAAAAAACCCAAAAAAAGCCAAACCACAAAATAGCATATATAGTTCATAGAGAAAGGAATCAAAGGAATTTAGTCATTGGACGGACTTCATTAATTAGTATGGAGGGTATGTATGAAAATATTCTTAAAGTGAAAAAAACCAGAAAGGATGAAAATACATCTCTTTCAAGAGAAATGTCTTTACTTCATATGCCTCCTGAAACCACAGTGATCTCAAAATTCATGTCAAAAATGACCTTCATTACATTTCATCATTTCTTTAAAGTTCCACCAAATCATATTTAAATGGGCTTTAATTCTGCAAGTAAAAATTACTTTTTTGCTTTAGAGCTATTAAAAATCATTCACATACTCAAATGATTTTTATATTTGGCCCAGAACAACATCGTGGTTTTCATCTCACCAAGAAAGTGGTGTATTTTTCATTTTAGGTTAATTATTTTGGAAATTTTTTAGCAGCTGTGCAAAAAGTCATTTCTTCACAGAGTTTTATTTGTAGGTTTCTCAGGAGGGAAGCCACAACTTGCAGCATCATCAGTTCCAAGCACAGTTGAACTAAGCCAATATCCTAAGAGCTATTAATAACCACATTGGTAAAATAGAAATGTGAGACACTAGATATCAGGGTTTTGTTTCTTAACAACAGCTTCAACAAAAAGCCTGCTCCAAATCTTCACTCTTTTTGCAGCTCAGCTTTCATTCCTTCTCTCCCTTCTAGGTGACAGGCAACATCACCCAACTCACTCAGCAATGCCATTGAGTTTAACCCAAGATTTCTTGCCAAGGCCAGAATACTGAACTGGGCCCTCATAACCCTCCCATCCCAAAGCTGGCAGGGAGTGGTTGAACAGCCATTATTGGTGGTGTTGTTCTGAGGAGCTATAAACCAGAACAAGCCAGATAGCATTTTCTGTGACAGAGCTCTCCGACTGCAGTGGTTCTGGGGAAGGTTAGCTAGCTAACCCTAGGCTAGAGCTAGCTTGGTCTCACCCAAAAGCATGCACAGAAGAAATTGTGGATGGATTAGATCCTTATTGCTGCATTGGCTGGTCCTTATTGGTGCATTGCCATTCAAGCAATAGTACTGGACTTCCAGAGTTTTCCAGCTGAGAACTTGCGGTGGAAAAGACACAGTGTCATTTTTTTCTCCTCTCAGCAGTAGGAGGGAGTGAAATTTAATGGACAAGGGGGATTTTAATGTCCTTCCTAAAGGTTTCAGCTTGGAAACAAGTTTTCAATATGCACTGATCAGCGTGCTATGGTCCGATATGAGCTGCCAAGAAACTCAAAGCCCACATCAGTTCCGTGCGTGCTGAGAGTTCACTGCTCTGTATTGAGCTATTCCAGCCTCCAATGGAGTAAAGTGAAATCAGCTTTTGCCTGCATTCAACTATCTCAAGAGCCAGCACCACCAAGGTTATGGCCACATCTGTTGGCATATTCATTTAACCCTTATACCACATTGAAACCTGGGTTAAGGAGAGAGAATGCCTATGCAGATACCACCAAACTTCAGAGCTGAACAAAACATATTCAAATTATATGCTGTGACTAGATCTAAATTTACTGCCCACTAAGGGAGGTAACTAGAACTCATGCTAAAGAACTTGAAAACCTCCACACTCAGCAGAGGACAAAGACTTACCAGACATTTGAAGAGTTGTACTAATGGAGAGAAGAAAAATCAGGGAGAGAGACATGTAGAGAGACATGGCAAATATTTCACTCCTTTCCTCCTTCACCTCGTATTGATCCTAAAGACCAAATCAGTGCCTTGCAAGAAAACCCCACTGCACTGAAGTGGATTAACAAACCCTTTTTAAGACCCAACAGATACAGGGAAGTTCTGAGCTTCAAATAAGGAACTGTGTCATGTCACATGAGTAATTTTGAAATAATACTTTAATGAGTAAACTTTGCTTTCTAAGCTAGTTTTTCTACTGTATAAAGTATTGCCATGGAAATATAAGATCTAACAGGTAATATTTTAGTGTGGATTTTAGTGTGGATTTTTAAGACATAACTCAGAATTCATTTTACCTAAAGGTGAGATTACTGATTCACATGAAGAAATAAATGAAAGAAGTAAAAAAGAGAAAGATTTGTCTGTATCAATACATGATGAAAAAAGCCAGAGTGCAGTGCAATATTGTGAAAAATCTGCTGGGACACCACACATATCAAGTAACTATGACCTTGGAGTCAGAGAGAACCAGAATTTTCTATGACTGAAATTCCACAGAAAAGAAAAAAAAGCTGTAGAAAGTCAGATCTGTGTTCTTCAGGAGACACCTATTCTTTCTTTTGCTCCATTCTTGACTATATGCAGGAGTAATTACCCAACTGACAACAACAGCTGAAGAAATTTGGGAAAGAAAACACACAATTCTAGGAAGAAGAGAACCTGTAACTGGATTTTCAATTATTGCTAGTGAGGAAAACTAAACTGATGAGGAATACTGCCTCATTTTTCATCCCACTAGTCTGTGAAAGTTGTACACCTTGTAAAGTTGTGCACCTTGTAAAGTGTACACCCTACAGGCATTCTGAAAAAAAATCTGATGTTTACTTTGATAAAGTTTTCTCCATGATAAAGAGCTCAAAAAACTTAGACCACAGGGAAGAGAAAAGGGACTCTGATGGAAGATTTACATAAATTTTGGCATGTGGACTTTGAAAAATTGCATTTCCCATACCTCAGGTGAGTCTGGTGAGGGATACCTTCCCCAGTATTGCATCTGCAGCAAAATTGCTGCTGTTGCAGGTAGTGAAAACCCTGGACACCCACTTGAAGATGTGGGGTTCTGCTTCTATGACTCTGATTCAGATGAGATGAATGACCCACTGGGTCTGAAAATGCATGCAGAGAATTAGAGTAGAACAAAGCCAGAACAGTGAGGGAGAGCGGTGGTAGCTCAAGGCCAGCAGACACAGCTAGAGCAAAGCCATGCAGGAGAGGGAGCCTGAAAGGATACTGAGACCTGCAGAAAGTGGAAGAAATGAGGGCTGCTCTAAAAAGCAGTAAATTACTCAGTAAGTTATCATCCATATGTAAGGATGGCTGCACAGAGTCTGGAGTCAAGCATTCTGGTACTCCCCAACACCAGAGTGCTTGAACATGCAACCTCAATTTTCCAGCTTTCCTTCCTTCCTTGTTCAGGAGCAAGACAAATGTATCTTGTGGTTCTGCTGTATAAAACATCTCAGAATATCCAAATCTACCAGGGGGCAACAAGGACAATTACAACAGAGAAAAGGGAAGTGGTTCTGTTCTGAACAAAGATCAGTGATTGGTGAGAGACCGGGATTGATAATCTGTTGAGAGGCTGGAAAAGAGTAAAGCATACTAAAGTCAGCTTTACCTCGGTGTTTGTGTTTGTCTGAGCAGATTGCATCACAGCCCACAAAGAAAACCAGAAGGCTGCGAAGATGTGCCCCAGGATCTGCCATTTGGCAAGGCACAGCCTGACATTTTAAAAGTGGCGAGGAACAAAAGCTGCTGGGGTTTGTGTGGAGTCAGCATTGTTCCTTTGGCAATCTCTGCTCCCAGGCAGGAAGTTACACTCACTGTGTGCAGATTCACCACCTTTCTTCTGAAGTCCAAACTTTTTCAGAGAAAAGGGGAAACGAGAATTAAACACAAGGGTATCAAGAAACATTGCAATGTGAAGAGATAAAACCTTACACGCTACTGAATATTGCCATCGAGTCATTGCTCAGGTGCCCACAGAAAGGGATGGGTGAGGACATCTGGGTTCAGATGGATGCTTCCCTACATTCATTTTCACAAAAACTACTTCTACTAAAATATGAAAGTAATTTTATCATCATTTAGCCCGCTATAACTTGATAAAATATTTCAATCCAGAATCCCCACACATAGGACAATCACAGTTTCCAAGCTATAAACATTTTTATTTTTTCTAGAAAACATTCTAGTCTGAAAAAAAAAGTGAACAGCCTTTCCATTTTGCTATTTTCATGCTACAATAATTAATGATTCTTTTTCTTTCAATTTTGTAAACCACCTGATCAAATACAAAAAAATCTTGCAGCATCAGAGGATTGTAGTTATAAACTATTAGGGATCAGCTAAAACATTTATTTGCTTTTCATACATTTATTCCCTTGTTCATTCTATTCATCATCTTGTTTTTCATGGAGTTATTTTCCTTGTTTTTACAGCAAGTATATTTCAGAAAAGCAAGAACCCATTTCTTCTGTGAATATATATATATATATATATATATATATATATATGTAGGCAAAATACATCCTAAGACCTCCCTTAAGTAGTGTCATCTACGTGGGGATCACAGGAGCAACAGTTTGGTTTTAAGGCACCTGACCAACTCAAATATGAATACCAGTCAGTAGTAGAAAATGGTTGAAAGATTTGGTGAAGGATCAGAATACATAAAATATAAAATTAGTGTGTCCATATGAACATGACTCATTTCCAAGAAGACACATTTCTTTTTTCCATTCAAATAGGGAAGCATATTTTACCTCTCTTCCTAGGTAAAAGCTTTCCATTTGACCTTATATTAGTTAAATATTTTTTAAAGCGTTCAAGCTTGCTTGTTTCTCTACCTTCTATTTAAAAACTTCTGTTAGAGTTTGTGTATAAAGTATCAGTGCTCATCTTCTGCTTATGACATGGAACTGTAATGATTTCCTGTGCTTTAAATGCTACTCTTTCCATATTAATCTTTTTAATGAGAAATTTGCTTCAATTCTATTGTCTTGAAATTGGAGGTACTGTAAGCCCTGCATCTTCAAGTTCCACCTCTTCTGAAAATCTTTCAAGTCTTTTTCTAAAATCTTTCTAAAATGAGCAGGATAAGTAGCTCAATCTCCACAGTAGGGCTTCTTATTTAGAACCTTCTCTATTATTTTCTGTACCTGTTTGGACAGGAGAGCAGAACTGACACAGCATTTCACAGAAGCACCTACATCTACTGCCAGCTATTAAGTAGCATGACATTTTTAATTCTCTTCAACTCAGAGATGATGCTGGATTTCAGGAAAAGTAAATGGATGAATGAGCTCAGAATTATCCAGGCTCCAGCAGCTGGATTCCCTCCTTGACACTTTTTAGTGATGTACTTTTCTAAGTATGGCAAGGAACCAGAAGCCAGACATCCCCTCTATTTTTATTTTCTTTGCAACCATACCTTTGCATATGTGCATGGGAATAAAGGTTATCTGGAAGAAAAACTCAGTGTACAGATACCATTTTAAGATTGTGCAGGGCCCAGAAGTGGACTGAGCTTGTTTTTGGTGAGACTGCACCTGTTCATTGTTTGCTCAGCAGCCAGCACAGTGAGGCTGGGATTCCAGTCAGGCTCTCTTGGCCTTTCATTGCCTGTTTCACGTAAATTTATACCTGGCACCACTCCTCCATATAACTGAAACAACATGACCCTTAGTATCATTACTCAGTCAGTCAGAGCTTTCTGTCACAAGCTGCATCAGATGGCATAAAAATCCATTAGAGATACTGATCCTTGAAAAAACATGCTTAAACAACAGTGCATTAAAAATGGAAACAGCAGTAGGAACAGAACAAGGAAATAGCTGGGAGAAAGAGAGCAGAGCCAGAGAAAAGCAGTCCCAGGACAAATTTTCCCATTTTATCTACATGTGAATGTAATTTAAAATTTTTACTACATCCCTCATCTCACACTTTTGTTTTGCCTTTAAGCAGATAATCCTGGGACAGATTCAAGAAGACATGGTTAATACAAATCTTGATTGCAACTTTTTCTGGAAAGTCTCCCCAGTGGTATCAACTCCTCTTTCACTTTATCATGTTACAGTGTCTTATATAGATGAGACTATAAAATGCAAACCTATTTTAAAAATCCAAGATAGTTATTTTTTATTTCACAGAGTAAAATCTGAAACCACAAAATCAATCCTTGCAAACTTTTGTATGCAAGTGAGGAATCATGCATGATTTACATTTTACAGGATCTAAAAAACTAGGAATATAAACTCCTTGGGGAATATAAGATGTCCATAAATAGTAGTTGATTTAACTATTTTAGAAAGTAAATAAAATCAGTAGCAACTATTACATTGGTAAAGTTAAATTGTTCTTTACTTGCAGCACACATCCCACAAAACTATTCTACTTACTGCGGAGCTGTAGAGAGCAGTACCAATATGTGATCACCACAAAAGCTGTGCAGAAACCTTCTGCTCCTAGAAACCCTCAGAACCTGCACAGGCAATCTTCCTCCCTCCCCTCAGTAACTGTTGCCTGGTAAGAAGGAAGTCTTGCCATGATCCTCATCACCTCTCACCAACAAACCCACTTGTGGCCAGCCAAAACTGGCAGCTAATATCAACCACACTTTTCCACTCCAGAGATCTGCCTCCAGATTTTACCTGATTAAATCCTAGAATACATAAACTACAAATACTACATTCTTGGTTTTCTGTGTTTTATGAAGTTGTAGCCAAATACAGACTTATCCTGTAGTGACTATGCCTGTATTTTAGCTCATGGGAATACTTGAACAATGGTAGAATTAGAAGATGTTTACTGAATAGCTTTGAGTATCTGTTCAATAGCATGGTTTGAAATAAATCTGATGCAGAAATGTCAAATCTCATGTGCCTTCCTCAAGTTGATCTACCTATATTTTACTTTCTTTATTTTATCCATTTCTATTGTTCCATTTAACAATTAGTCAACACTATCACTTTTCTTAAGACCCACATTCACCCGTGTGATCATCAAATCCTGAGATCTGAAATCTTTCACCTTATGTAATGACTACAAAAGAAAGTAACTGCAGTGTATGACATTACACACACACACACAGAAACAGGCTGTTACAGTAATTGCACATAGGAAAATACCTTTGGCTTCATTCTAATTGCATAATTTTAATAAAACAAGGCACATTTTATTTTATTACATTACATTTTATATTACATATTACATTACATTTTCTTTTGTTACATTACAGTGTTGCATGTTCATTCTGCTCTATGTTGGTCACAAGATCCTTTGTGTCACTAATTCCAGGAACTGCATCACCATTAAAATACAAATTATTCTCAAAGCTGTCATTTGTTGGCAAGCAATTCTTTCTTCTTTTGTAGAACAGATATCCTGCAAGACCACTTCCAACTAGGATGATGACACCAACAACAACTATAACTCCCGTTTTGCTGTGGTTTAGGGTAGAAGCCTTCTCATCTTTTTTCATTGCTGAAAACAAATAGGAAGAAATCAAGAGAATGCTGCGTACTCTTTATCTGATTACTGGAAACAAGTTCTTTAGAGTGCATGATCTCTTAAGAAATAGGGGTTGATTTGTTTCAAAGTAACGAGAAGAAAAGGTAGCAACATAAAATAACTTGATTTTAAATCGCTAATATTGCGTGTTATATCACAAATCCCTTTTTTTTTAATTTTCATTTGGAAATGCACCTTAATAGGGTATATTGTGTACTACTAGGAAACATTGTCATCCTAGGAAACAGGTACAGTACATGGGCATATCAGAAAATTTAAGAGACATAATACAGAATAGAATTTTTTTTGTTTATGATCTTATATGGGACTAATTTTTTCAACTTGAAAGACAAGATTCTTACCCATTGTAGGTATTCCAGCTGGTGGCATTTCAGATGCTGGTGGCATTTCAGTTGCTGGAACTTGAAAACAATAAAAAAGAACTTTATTTTTTTGTATTATTATTTATTTCTACATTATTTAGCATTTATTTCTATATTTTGGAACACACTGAAAATCGTGCTCAGATAAGTATATGGTAACACAAACCACTGAATACTGGAAACACTTGAGTTTAGCTCATATAAAATTATACACGCTTAAGGCATACCACAATGGTCTAACGTGTCCTGATCTCATATGTAGTTATTTACATAAACTAGCAAAAAAGAAGGAATATCAAAAAGCTCCATGAAGATTGATGCAGACATCAGAATGAAACCGAAAGAAAATCTATACATCATCTTGAGGATAGACATGGTCAAACATAATCCTCAATATAATTAAAAAATCTTGTAGTACTTGTTATATAAACATAGAAAGTGTAATAAATTTGGCTTGCCCAGAGACTTTGATGGCTTACCTGCATAGACACTTGAAATCACTCATGAACTTCACAGTGTCCTAGCAGGTATCACATCTGAATTAAAGATTTGCAGTTCATTTAAATTTTAACACCTGGACCATGAATTCTGGCTTGCTGGATAAATGTGCCATCATTTAAGATGAAGTCTTTATTTTGCCATGTGGTTATAAAGTTTATTATTAAATCTTGAATCAATGCATCATGTTCTATTCTGAAAAAGGTGAGCTCAGGAATTTAAATTCTTTTTACCAGTCCCCACTTGCATCTTTTCCATAGTGCTGCCCACTGATAGAAGAGAGGGTGTGGGCAACACTGTGCAACACCCTCTGAACATCAGGAAATGCTTTTTCACTGTGAGGGTGACTGAGCACTGGAAAAGGCTGCCCAGGGAGGTTGTAAATCATTGTCACCACAGGCCCTTTTAAGAAGTCCCTCTCCAGCTGTCTTGTGAGCCCCTGTTAGGTGCTCTAAGGTCACCCTAGAGACTTCTCCAGGCTGAGCACCTCATCACTTCTGAAATAAAGTTATATACTTTATGGTATAGACCTGCTACAGAACTCTCAAATTACAATGGAAAAAATTAGCTCAGTAAATGAAACAGATCTAGAAGATCTTCAGTCATGTTTCTGTGTTTCAGTCTCTTCAGAAAATAGCAAACACATCCAGCAATAGCCAGTGCAGCTCGGTAAAACCATGCCTCTAATGCTGCATTTATTGCTCTTTAACAATCTTTGTCGCTATTTAACAGTTTGTTTAAATTCTGCACATGGAGCATTGCCACAGTTCTGAAAAACCATGCCAAGGAAAGCTGCATTTCTATGACAATGTAGGACTAGATTGTGTCCTGTTTCAGGGTGAGTGATTATATAAACCTTGCACTGACACTGGAATTAGGTTGAATCTGTGGCATTCCAGATCAGTAGGCTAGACTGGCTGAAGCTAATCCCAGAAAAAAGTAGCTAGCTTTCATCTGCTTCAGCTCTTTGCAGTGGCTCAGCATCAAAACAGGTGAATGCCAGTAGAAGGACAAATATTTGAATTGAATGGGTAAAAAGAAACAATGGCAATTTATTTTAACATTTGGTACCCGTATCTAAAAATTTTTGTCAATGACTGCAAAAAAGACAGATAAATGGACTCTGAAAGGGTGGATATACTGAGATTTTGCAGTGTTTCCTGTAAAAGATACAGTCATCGTTACAAGCATTGGAGTAAGTAAGAATAATTTTGCATGAGAACAAATTTACAGAAAGGATAGCAGAATTTTTCTCATTTCCAGTATTGAAGAGGAAGTGGGTATATTGCAGCTACGCATTTCAACCTTCTTAGGAAGCATAAGTAAGAGATTTTGGTATTGCAGTATATGCTGAAAGAAATTATTATGATGACTTTTAGGAATACATATGTACTAGATGTCCCAACTGTCAAATTTGCACATTCAGTTATTTCAGGACACCTTCAGTTTAGCACTTTCAAACTATGCTATTTGCTTTGCTTTTCATTCATTCATCTTTTCACAACAGGACACAGAGACAAAAGATCCCAAGCTGTTAAATAATTCACACTTCAAAAATCCTCAATTCATAGAAACACCATGTTCAGAAAACACGTGCACATGAGACTGGCAGAGGGAAATAAACAATTCCTACTCCAGAGGCAGAGCAGAGGGGATACCCTGAGAAATATGTTTGCATATAGATGAGACAGATTTGTGTTTGCAAGGCATGGTCCTTACATTGTGATTTCTCAAAAACTGTCGATAGAGAACATGCAAACTTTTCAAGTGTATATGCTGGATACTGTTAAGATATGAACATAGTCTTTTAAAAGCAATTCTTGAGAGACTTGACTACTGTCCAGAACTACTTTCTGATAAGAGTCATTCTATCTTTTTGTTGGCATGGAAATATGCATCCTTTGGCATTTATAAAATCTCAGAACATCCAGCTGAAATGCATTGTGTGTAATGGCCTTCTACTAATACTAGCATGAAGAGAGCATAATCCATACATAAAACTAATTCATAAATGCAGCACTTACTTTTTGGCTTTTTACAAATATATCCTTTGTAGGAAGAGCAATAGAAATTATTCCAATACCCAGAGTCTGCATACATTTCAACACAGTGCTCATTTTGTTGAGAAGAAGGTTCTCCTACATTCCAGTTGACAAAATTCACTGCAGTGTTGTCTAGCCACAACCATTGTCCTAATTGAAAAAACATTGAATACGGAAAAAAATATAGCATTAATTTCCATACTGACCCCTTCACATGCTCCATATTTATTGCCTTTGTGAGAAATTTACTTGTCACCACTTTTGGAGGCAGAACACTAAACTCTTTACTTCTGACATACGTTGCCCCTAAGATTTTATACAAATGATACAATATCAATTCTTGGAAAATGGCAGACAAATCTGGCTTATGGTGTTGCAAAGGCAAGACAGTTCCAAGAGGAATCCTCCACAAGTCATAGCAATGCTGCAGTGTCAATTATTTATTCCATTTATAGAAATAAGTGATGTTAAAATATAACATAACTTCACTAGAATGCTCTTTATTTCAGTCATTTGTGGGAAGGTTTTGTGTTACTCTTTTCAAAGCCCACACTGAAGTCTTTCTAGGTCCAATTTTATTCCATTTGTTTTCCAGTGTCTGCTCATTTCCACAAACTTTACACAGACAATTTTCCTTTTTATAGATCTCCTTCCAAAATCTTGTGATCACTGTTGCTCAGCTATGCTTGGGACTTTCTGCTTCTTCCTTCCGGTTCCTTTTTTCTTTCTTTCTTTTAATAGTGCTATTTATTTAGAATAAATGTACTCCTTGTGTCTGCAAGTTGTACTCAAGCAGATTCTTAGACTCAGCATGAAAACTGTATTTTGATTTCTTATAAGATTCTATATATTTTGCATTTGTTTTGGTTTTGATTTTTTTTTTTATTATAATTCCTGACACTCTTCATGTGAGGACTTTGAAACTGAATACAATCTGGATACATACATAAAGGTATGAAATTTAGCTACAGTTATGCTGAAGTTGCCATAATCACTAACTAGAGCTGTAATGAAGAGCTGAAGAACTCTTGTCTATGATCACTGTAAGAAGTGTGCTACACTGCTCTAGAACCACTTTAAGAAATATTTTTGTGTCTATTCACCACATGAGTAATTCTCTATGTAATTCTCAGTATTCTCTATGTGTCATGCATATCAATGACTACTCTCAAACTCTTTCCATTGCCAAAAATTTTCACTATTTTAGGCTAAGATTCAAGCAATGTAATTAAAAAGTTGTCATTTCCCTAAGAAGTTTCTCATTCAAGTGTTTGGGTAGGCAATTGTAAAAATAATCTTCCAAAATCCAAGAAAACCCACCACAAGTCACCTGAACTATTTTGCAACCCTGTCACTGACTGTTATATCGGCATTTTTTTGCCTGAACAGTACAAGGCTGTGCTTTTTCTATCTATCTAATAGCTATTAGAATATCTAATTAAATACTAATTGCTTTAATTTGAAGTCAACAATCATCAAATTTAGGATTTAATTAAAGCATCCTGTTGCATATTCGATCTTGCTTTATCTTCCTTATTACAGAAGTATAATGTGAAATTTTCCACACTCATGTAAAATAGCTTGTGGTAATTATTCAGTAAAAAAAAAGACGCTAAAAGTAGAGAAAGTACCATCCACATTTCTGTACATTCCTGTCCAAAATGTTGATGTTTTCCCTTCAAGTGGTTCAAGGTTGTAGGTCAAAAAGTTGGCTTCAGCTGGGTCTTCAATTGAGACCAGAGTGGCACCTGGAAGACACAGGGGAAGAAAAAATCCCTTAGAGATGTTTCATGGTGGAAATAATTTTCATTGTCCTGTTAACAAACTACTTCATGAGAACCCAGGAACAAACCTGAGTGTTAGAGAAGAGAGGGAGAATCCTCTCACCCAGTACCAGAGGTCTACATTTGTCATTGCTAGGTTTCATTGTTAGGTTTTTGTTGGCCACATGTCAATATACTTTCAGTGAAGATAAAGCTATAATCAGTTCTGCTGGAGAGTGAATGAGATCTCTGCATAATCCAGTGGGAGACCAGACACCAGACACCTTGCCACCAATGCTATAAACAACAGTGCTACAGACACATGAAGTCCAGCATAACCAATCTTTATCCCTTTCCCAAAGAAGGAAGTTGAGAGAATGAAACTGCACAACAGCTCTAGTTCAGTCATTTATTATCCAGACTAAAGAGCTTTAATTTTCAGTCCCATGGCATAAAACTGCAATAATCAAGTGGGAAATTAGATCAAGAACACAAAACATACAAATTCAATTAAAATAAGCTTTAGTGACTGCTGTGGGTGAAACTGTTTATCTCCTATCAGGGTCAAAGTACAACACTTTTGTTGTTTTCCACTTTCATGGTCTTCAGGCCACAAAGCTCCCCTCATGCCTGATCCCACATGCATGAGACACAGTGTGGGCCATATGTAGACAGAGGTTTTCCATCACCTCCCAAATTAAGGCAATAATTGGATGCAACTGCCTTGTCCAACATTTGGACTATCATCGAAATCACAAAAACTCGTATCACATGTTCAGCTTCCCACAGTCAGTAAAACGAGTCAGGAATACGTGCTCATAAAGTAGGATACTCACCTAGTCGAAGACATTCTAAAGATGCCTGGGCCCAGTTTCTTGAAGATGAAGATTCAATGTAGTAGCAATGTCCTCGGAAAGGGATCCAAGACCTATGTCCTTCTGATTCAGGACACTTTCCTGGAAGCTGAGGGGGATCAGTGGGAGCTTGAACTGATTAAAAAATAGTTTAAAAAAAAAAAAAAAAAAGTGACTACTCACTTATATTCACTGCCTTTTGATTTTTGAGGTTTTTGATATTACAAGTTTATTCAATAGCAGAATAAACAGCAGATTAATGTGAGTCTAAGCTTTGCAAAATTTATCTAACATTATTGATATAAAGTGACAGCTATTCATTGTCATATTAGCTCTTTCTTACTATGTTTTTGCCCTAATTTTAAAGTAGCCCTATTCAACCTAAGTAAATTCTAACGATTTCATCTATTTAGCTCTTGAAATAAGCCCCAGCATCTCTAATGAGATATTGATTGTAATTGCAATGGTCAGATTCAAGTTCTTACCATCAGACTTTTTGCAAACAGAGAAGTAACTTTCATTGCAGAATCCTGTCCTCCAGACTCCAGTAATGTCAAGATAGACACAGCCTATTTTTTGCTTTGGCTCCCCTTTAGCCCATTTCATGTACTTCATTTTCCAGTTATCAATCCATTCATAATGCCCATTGGTCTGAGGAAAAAACATCAACCAGAATGATTAAATTCCATCAATCTACTCTGTCTATATAGTACTTCGTGCTTATAGGCTTGGGGCTTTTCTTAATAATAATATTTCTTAATTAAAAAATACAAGCATCTCAAACTTTGAAATTTTTGTTGTGACAAACAGTTGTTTATTGAGAAATACAGCACGGCAACAGGTACTGTTCAGCAAAAGGAAATGCAAAGTGTCATGGAGTTAATGTTGAACTTAACAATACCATTAATTTGGGACTAATAATATTTTCATTTAAAATAATTTTTGTGAGTGAAATTCTGATGACTAATTTTTGCACTAGCTGTTTCCCCAGAAGTTTCAAGACACAGATTATTTTAAGTTGAAATAAATTTAAAACTGTAATAATTTCCCACCAAAGCTGATTTAACTCAGCGATTCATCCTGGTGATTAATGTTAGAGGCATATTTTGATTTTTGGGAATCAAAAATGTTGATTTATGTGTATCACAAAAATGTGATATGTGAACATGTGTTATGTTCATATATTTGGGGTTATTTCATTTGCTCAGCCAAATGGAGTGTGTGGGACAAGGGTCTGTTCCGAAAGAAAAAAACATTGTATTTAAATATGCAGAAAGTATTAAAATACCAAACAACTGAGAAGGGGGACACAAACAAAATTAAACTATATAAACTAATTATTTTGCTAACTATCCTCAAAAATGTTAAAATATTCATAGTTATAGCACTTTCTTATATTTCTCAAAATTAGGTATCATTATTAAAATAGATGTTTTCCTCTATAAATTCTAAAATATGATGATTTCATGTCACATATTTATCACATTTATACCTGATATATGTAAAGAGATATTCCAAGATGTTATTGGAATATATTGCACTTCCTTATTTGGAAGTGCACAGGGATATCATAGAAAAAGTGTGAAAAGCACATGCAATATATACAATTTAATCAGATTAACAGAAAAAGATGGATTCCTCTGACAGCACAAAGAAGTATTAAGGTCCAAGATATAAACAAATAAGCTAAAGTAAAGAGAGATGATAAGACTTTTCAGTTCCTGATTTGCCCATGAGAGAAGCAGCATCATGTTCAATTAGATTAATGTTCTTACCACATTACTGTTAAGACCAATCCACACAGGTACTCCATACTTTAATATCTTCAGCCACAGGAATGAGTGACTGTAGGGGTCTAAGATACTGGAAAGGTCAAACTGATTTTGTTTGCAGCTTTTTCGTGCATCCTCCCATGTCATTTTGGTATGGATGAACAAGTAACTACTATTCCCATAATGGATAATGTTGGATGGGGATGAAGTTGTTGAAGGCAGAAATTCAGCATCTGTAAAATAAAGGATGAAAAAAGATCCATCTACTTCCTCAAAATGGGGGTATGATTTCACTGTGGTTATAAATAGAACTAAACAAAAGTCTTCCTTCTTTATTTCATATTCCCTGATTCATAATCAGCATGGGTTAAATGCACTATTCTTTAACCCAGCATCAGTAGTAAAATTCAATTACAAAGCTGCAGAAAGGAAAAGAGATGCTTAAAGCAACCTCTGATGAAGAGTAAAGGAGCATTCTGGATAATCATCAAGGATAGTATTATGGAAATTAGGACTAGGTCATAACTTTAGTCATAAATTTTTTCATCTAATGAAATGGTTTGCAGAAACTGTTCAGCTTTTCAAGGATATTTTCCCGAGAAATAAAATGTTCACAGCCAACCAGGCCTTAAAAATTACTCACATACTTAAACAGATGCTAGATTTAAATATTATAATCTCTTTTTTTTTGGAGGTGATTTTGCTCAAGTTCAGTGCAGATGAGTTACCGTCTCACTCCAGACAGTTCATGCTGTGTGTACAAACCAGTATTTTCCACAACATGTTTTGAAAGTCAATGTGCTCAGAAAATTAAAAAAACTATGGAACAAATGTCATATCAAGGGTCATACTAGACACAAAGATGTAGATACAAATTCCAGTTCAGGAAAATAGCAACACATCATTTGCTGGGAAGGGTCAGATGAGAGCAGTGACTAACCAGACTTCTGACACGTTTGACTATTTGACCCTTTTGTTCCTGCCTGAAGAACAATTTGTGCATTTATCTTTACTAGAAGCAAAATTATGTTTAAATACACATATTTAATCAATTCCCTGGGGGGAAAAAAAATTTAAAATAAGGTTTTTTTAACTAAAAAGGGAAGTACCTGCATTAATTTGGCATATATATCCTCTGCTGTTATCACAACTCTGATCAGCCCACTTCCCTGCTTCCTTAACAGGTTTGTTTTTCATGGCAACACAATCAGCCTCGAAGCAAAGAGATACAACATTAGTTAAAAATAGCTAGAAAAAGCAGATAGGAACCTTTTGTCCCCCTTTACATCTTCAGACACAACTAATGCTGTAATTTTACTCTCATACCTTTTTAACATTTAAGAGCACAATTTTTAAGTTACACAAGTGGTGTGGAAGTTCTATTCCCCTTAAACTTCACAAATTTGTTACATTCTATTGCACTACATTGGGGTGAGAAAGAGGACCAGAGAAGTTCTAATATTCTCAGACCTCAGGCATACAGGATGGAGAGGAATCACAATATAAGGAGAAATTAGATCAATCATTGTAGAAAAGACCAGGTAACTTTGCCCCATAAAAAAAACAGAACCCTTGAAGTACAATGCAACAAATTATTGTTTCAAGCTCTAATGATACACACAGGTAAGTTAGAACAGCTCATGCCCAAAGGCACCCACTGCTCTGTCAGTACCATCCTTACTGTGACATTTCAACTTCTTTGACATGGACACAAGAGCTTGAAATTAGATTAGCACATATTAAATAAACAGTGATTAGTGCAAAAGCCTGCAGGGTTACAAGAGGCTTTGTGCAAGGAAACATATACTTATTTTATTCTGTTTACTTGTTTGCTTTTTTTCTGTCCACAAGAAGATGTTCTGATAATTACTTCATTTGTGGGTGAAAAGCATTGGGATTTAAATCTTTCAAACTGAACAGCTGTGTACTGATTTGTACTAATTATGATAACATTTTTGCTAAGATCAAATAAAAACAAATCTAAAATTTATGAAAAAGGGACTTAATAAGATGTCACATAAGACTTCATAAAAATCCTATTACTTAAAAAAAGAGACAAACTTTTTTTTTTTTTTGAGAAGTAGCATTTTCAAAATATTTTCCTTTTGAACTCCAAATTTTCCTCCTCCTTTAGAAATAAGAAGCTCACAGATGCTAATTTCAAACACATGGAAAAATGTATTATATATAAGAATATAATTTCTATATTAAACACATAATTCAAGAGAAATAGAGTTAGCACTATAAAGTGCTGTAGTTCCAGAGTACAGAACTATCTACACACATATGATCAGAGAGAAAGGAACTCTGTGACCAGATCAGTTTGACAGAGAAGTAGAGACAGTGATTTTCTAGTATTTGGGGTGTTTTCCCCTTGTATAAATTGAATGGCTGTCTTTTTATAGACTCATGTCCTTGCTGCAACTGTGACTGGCAGTATTCCCTTATTTGTTTATATGTGAGACACCTGTTTCAGGGGAATGTTTGTAAATGTCCCCTTGCAAACTACATTCCAGCTGGGAAACCTGCCAAGTTCCGTCACAACTGCCACCAGAGGATTAGGAGGATGCTCTCATTGTTCTTCTTTTGGGAAAATGCCATGGGGCAGGAGAACCACTGCCCTCTTTACACAGCCCATGAGAAAACACAGGCTGAGCACAAAAGCTGTGTAGCCTTCACAAACACAGAGAACTGAAAACAGAAACAAGTCTTTGTATGAGCACTCCACAGATCTTGTCACCAGCTGGTACAGCAACTGCACAAGGACTCAAAACCATTCACTCTACCTGGATTTATATTCAACATGTGTACAAGTATGAAGGCAGTAAGTCAAGCAGCAATATGTCTAAAATCATCACAAATGCATGAATCCAGTCTTAGGCAAGGTGGGAATCGTTCTCTTTTCCTTAGTATAACAAGTGATCTGAAAGAGGAAATGGCCTGAAATTGTGCTAAGAAATTGGCATAACTAGATTGGATATTAGGAAAAAAATTCATCACCAAAAGAATATTCAGGCATTGGAAAAAGCTGTCCAGTGGTTAAGCCACCAGCCCCAGAGGTATTTAAATGATGTATAGATGCAGCACTTAGGGACATGGTTTAGTGGTGGCCTTGGCAGTGCTGTATTAACAGTTGAACTAAACAATCTTAGAAGCCTTTTCCAACCTAAATGATGCTGTGATTCCATAAAAGCAAATTTCTGTGAACAATCTGTGATTGCTATTTACCTGGCCGCTATATGCATATAAATCCATATGTCCTGATGGGAAGCCTTTAGCCCAGTTTGTAAAGTAAACCCCTGTTCCATCTGTCCAGAGGAACCTCATTTCATGATTTATATCATTTAATCCAATCCATGTCTCAGTGACAAAATCTTTTAAATGGAAGGTAAGGAAAGCTAGAATAAAAAAATGCAAAGAGAAAAAGAAATATTATTAATTTAGGACATTTGAAATTTTTGGCTTCACTGACTGAGATTGGTGGTATTAAATACTTTTCCTGAAATACAGAACACTCCACTGCTGGTAACACAAGCAGGTGAGATGAAAAGGAGATGAATGTTGAGTTTGATGAACTGGAAACTAGATAGATAACTGTGGACTTGGGAAAAATCCTTCATTAAAGTATCTAAGCTGGTACTGGAATGAACCCCAAAAACATGACAGAAATAGTTTTGATAATATTCCAAGACACTTTTGAATCCTAGTTCAAGACATTAATAGCTGTGGGGACCACATACATTTTTGATAATCCCACAAGAGTGGTTGCCCCCAGTGACATAACAGTACCACCAGGTCCTGACATCAGTGTATCTGCACAAGCAGTGCTGTTCCAGAACCAGGAGAGTGTTTCTTCCCTCCCTGGACAGCTGGGCAGTAGCCTGCACTGCCTTGGCAGGCAGAAAAATGAAGGGGAAAATCCACTAATCCATGATTCATCGAATGTGGTGATAAAATGGGTATACCATGTCTTCTGCCAATCGCTTCAGTTGTGGTTATGAATTTTTTTCCTCTGAAAATAATAGATTAATTTCTGCCTGCTGTGTTAATCATTCACCTTCCTTTGTTTCCTTTTTCCCAACCTGGAAATGAAACTTGAGATAATTTTAGTAAGGAGGTAATATTAAAGGGCATCTTTATTTGAAGGCCTTCAGAGGCAGTTATGGAAGGATGTCCACAGCAGACCACACCTCCTCCCTCCCCCAGGGGTGAGTACATTTTTATAGGTTTTAAGAAATTAGCATAATTGATAAAAGCACCAATAAGGAGGACAAGTGGTGATGCAATTCCCACACCAGGTCAAGCCTGTTCTCTGGATCCCCCCTTGTACTTGGTCAGTGAAAATGGGTTGCTCTCAGCCTTGGTTCCCGGGAAGAGCCACAAAAGCACTGAGTCTTGTACCCTCTGAGGGTTGGAGCTCTGGAATTTGTTCTGTCCTGCTTAAGGAAAGGCCATGGAAAAGTACTGGGAAAACTAGCCACTAATACAATGAACTACAGAGCTACAAATATATGTGTGAAGAATACAAAGAACATAAAAAAGAAAAAAAAGGCAAAACCTAAATGGCATCACCTTCAGCATTTTTAAATGTATGCATCTTACTCCTCGAGGAATGAAACCTGTAGGTTTCTTTGCCAAACATTAGCATTGTTGTTCTGCCAGAAGCTGAAAAGGAACTCAAGCCTTTATGCCTGCACTTCCTGCAGTGATAATAGTTGTGTGCTAATAGCTCCATTGCTCATTTCTCTTTTACCTAGAATTCAAGTCCTGTGCATGAACTAACCACCTGAAATTTGCCCTGCAGAAATTACGTAGGATAAGAATATAACTGTTTGAAAGTTTGATTCTACAGCTCTTCACAAGTGGAGAACATAATTAGTACTAAGTTCTTATCAACAGCTTAAATTAAAACTATTGAATTGCTCAGACTTCAATGAATTGTTTAACAATGGCTGAGTTTTCAGTGTGCTCTCTTGTGTTCACAATGTGTGTTTTGCAGCATCACATTCACACGTAGGATAAAACAGTATGCCTTAAAAAAGGGGTCTGTCTATCAAAGTCAATCTAACATCTCTCAAGGTCTTCCCCCATTTTCAGTTTGGACATGTGCCTTGTTTATTCAAGCATGAGGCAGCTTTCCCCTGCTCATCTCCCTGGGGCATGGATGCAGCTCTTGGGCTCATTACAAGCTCCTCTAGTGAAAAGAGTGGCACTGTGTGGTGAGCTCTGGGCATGTGCATGAGCTCTCTAGGCTGTTTGAAGTTGCCCACAGGTAAGTTCTCATCCTAAAGGTGTTCTGCTTGATTTTATAGGAGAGCCATGCAGCAAGTTAATGCCACCTCGTGAAACCACATTGTTTGGAATGGAAATTGCAGGGTCCAGCTGGCATCAGGTACAAGCAGGAAAAGACACTTCTTTGGCTGCCAGGACAATATACACATATATATATCTCTGAGCCAGCACTAAAATTTGGTAGATTCAAGTGAAGACTTCACTGTAGATTTCTAAAAGTTATATGTTTTGGAACAAAAATCGTATGTGCAACCATTATTCAAATCTGTTTGTATTCAGACAAAAACCCCAGGCATTCTGTAAGGATTAAATGTCATCTCATGTAGTTGTTACAAAACTGTGCACAGTACCTTGCACTTGTTCATTAGGGATCGAGGCCAGGTTTCCTCCTAAATTCATGCAAGCTGTTCGTGCAGCATGCCAAGTAACACGTTCCTCTTCTGTAGATCCAAATATTTTGTAACACTAAAATATGAACAAATTCTCTTTATATTATCTTTACTCCAATATCCCTCAACTGATGATCGCTGTTTTAAACAGAGCAGGATGGAGAAAAGGCAGCAAAATAATGCATTTATCTGAAAAAATACATTGAACTTTAAATGAGCTTTTTCATTACTCCTGGTCCTATATAAAATTAGAAGTCTCATTAAAACGTTTTGCTCAACAGCTAGATTTGATCTGAATTCCCTAGAATATAAACAAATCCTGACTTTTCTATAGATAGATAACAGTGCTAAGTTGTGTGTGACTGAACTTAGCCTGTCTGATTATTAATTTTATTCTACAATGTTAGTAAAGTTAAGGAAGACAAAATGTAGTCAGTAAAAAGCATTACAGTTTGGTTAAAAAACACCAAGATCAAGGCATCAATACTTTAGGAACTCTGACTAAATGTGTATCAAAAGATTTGGAGAGCTAACTAGAGAATTGTCTTTCATCAGCTGCTACTGAATTTGCTTCATTAGAAGCATCAGAAAAGCACTTTTCCTGCAAAACAATGGATGGGCAAACAAAGCAAAGCATGCATGTGTCATAGCTCTCTGCATAAAAATAACAGTATTTTGTATCAATAAGAAACAGTATGATTTAAAAATTCCCTTGTTTTCTCTTTAATGCTTTGCCAAAGGTCCAGCATGGACCGTATTTGTTATGGTACCTTATTACGAAAAGAAAGCCAAGCTGGACGACATCCTCTTGGAGTTGTAAGTGTTGTTGGAGGAACAGTTGAATTAATGGAACTGTTGTGTCTTTCACATATGAAGGGATTTGGATAGCCACAGTTTATATCATTCCAAAATCCTGTGTGTAAGATAAATGGGGAACTGTATGACACCACATCTCAAGTAGGTTAATGGAAATCAGTTTCACTCATTCTCACGTACAGTGCTTTTAGTTGAAAGATAAGATCAAAGCTGTCTCACAGTTTATTATTATTCAATATCAGTGTCTAGGAAAAATATGTCACTTTATACACACTGTAATTACAGAGTGTTAAAAGCTTTTTAGAGCCAGGTACCAGAAATTTCATAGTGACACATTAGGTCAATATTAATAAAAAATATAAACCAGCAATCACAACCACAGACCTCTAGCCACAGACCCCTATCAGATCCTCCCCATGTTAGGCTAAAGGTAAGCACAAGAGTACAAAACTATTAAGTCCTGTAAGAAATACTATGGTCTACTTCAATAGTTTTTTGGAAAAGAGAAAAAAACAAAAGGAGGAACAGGTGCTTTACAGAAGTAAAAAAATATTGTCACATACACACACACAAATAATGAAATTAATGAAAGAACATACAAAACTCACCTAAATTCTTATACATAACTACACAGTTTTCATCATTATTTGCAAAGTTTGGTTCATGTGGTGCCCATGCCAAATAATTCACTGGAGTGCCATCCATCCAGCTGAAGAAAAACAATCCAACAAAATGCTTCTTTAACATAAAATAGAACTTCTTCCATGTTAAAGAAGCAATTTTTCAATATGCTTAATATAGCTGTTCATAGTAAAGTGTACAAATTGCCTCTTTACTAGTTGTATTAAACTTATTCTCTGCTCAATGACATACAAGGTAACATACAAACATTGAAAAAGATGAACATTCATGTAAGATTAGGCAATGAAGAACAAAATTGTAACCAGGAAAATTATTAAACATCTTTCTAGTGGTCTGCAAGTGACAGAGGTACCCAGGTTCATCCTTCAGACACATGCACAAGGTACTTAAAAGTATATCCATCTTAGGGTCTCTACAAAACCAGAAAGGCAGAAACACCTCATTCTCAGAGGCTCACCTAACATCCTAATCATCCTCTGGAGGTCCCTCATTGTTACTGTGGACTATAAGAAGAATTGAGAACTACTAGGCATCTCTCCAGACACTTCAAACACAGACTGAACCGAATCTGAATAAATATCACATGCCAAAACCACTATGGTGCTGCATACTGTCATTCAGAAAGGCTTGCAGAAAACCTGCTTGACCTCACTGTGCAACAGCTATGATGGTTCTAGTAAAAGAAAATAGGTTTCATTTCTTCCTTTATTAGACTCTGTTCTCAAGTTAAGGATGGGAAAAAGGAACATTTTTACCTACCAGAGGTCTTAGATATTTACAGCTCAGACATCGATTTGTATTTTCAGTATAAATCACAGAATAAAGAAAACTATAATTCCCAAATGAAAATTCAAAATACACTAGGTGCAGTGTAATTTTTCATCTGCCTTTGAGTGAATTTAGGAAACATGAAATATTTCTTCTGGATAATCTAGACCTAAATTAAGATGTAATTAAATCACTTGAGAAGATAATCATGTTTAAGGTTCAAGACTAGCTATGACCTACCTGGTACGTTGGTCAATACTCAGTTGTAAACCAATGAAATATGCATCCTCTTTGCCATTTTTCAGTATCTAAAATGAAGAAATTAGTATTTTACAAATGTCCTCTATTGTCACATAAAATGTTACTGATGGGTAATATACCTCTAACTGACAGAGGATATGAACTGGATATATTCTCCAGCTACATTTAAGTTAAAGCAGCTCACAGCAGTCCACAGTCAAACTTCACCATTGGTCAAAAGGTGTGGTCACTGTATCAACACTTCTCACAGCTTGACTTGAAAGCCACTGAAATCAGCACCTATTACACAGTCTCTGCAGTGTACTTTATCTCACTTGCAAAGTGAGAAAAAAAAATTTCTTGCAAAGACAAGCCCCTATGTTTTGGATATAAATTGATACATGTCCTTGTGTCCTCTCACTGTCACTCTTCAGCCAGCTCAGAAAATGCTCTATGTAGTTCAAATACAACTTTTAAGCATATTCCTGATTAAAAATGAGTTGGCCTCAGGCAGCATAAAAAGCAAACCACTCCAATGATATAGGAAATAGGATTTCAATTTTTTTTTCTCATGGCATAATCCATGCCCCAATTTCCTCTAGCTCCATAATTATATTTTCACAACCAAGGAGGCAAAGGAGCAAACTTGAAGACCAAAAAGAGACCACTAGATAGACTATAGCCCAGATAAACAGACAAGATCTAAAGTCTTGTTTTGATCCACTACTTCAGAAATCCTACACAATCATGGCTCACCAGTGTAACACCTTTTGCTAAAAAGAAGCCACAGATCCCTTAAAAATTAGCATTAATTTGTTCTTCATACTAATCTGGCTTAGTGTAACTGCAATTTCACCATCAAAATTTGTAGGGAAAACACCTTGGTGGAAAGGATTTGTGCCCATGCTCACTTGTTTTGCATGGTTTATACCATAGTATTAATGGTTTTTCTTACATATCTCCAGAGGAACTTCCTTTCACTTTCACTCTCAATGACAGAAAGGTCTCCAAAGTTCTTTTTGCAGAACTCACGACCCTCTTCCATAGGAGCAGTCTCTGTGCTGAAATAGTACTGTTTATCTTCATGTATGATCCATCCATCCTCAGTAGTCTTGTATTCTGTAAGATAATTGCCAAGCTAACTATACAGATCCTGAGATACAAGACATCCTCCTTGATAAAATTTTAACAATGCTTTTGAACACACACACACACAAAGAGCAGTAACACCTACCGGGTGCAGGAGATTCTGTTGGTTCAGGCTTCACACTTGCCCCTGTGAGAAAAAAAAATATTTATTATGATAACATATTTTCTGTCTGAAAATAATATATTTACTGTGACTGATAGGCATGTGTTAATGCTGACATTGACTTTCACAGTTAGCAGTGGATTTGACACCAAAATGTAGAAGAAACTAAATAGCCAAAATCTCTTATTTCTTGTATCCTATTCAATTTTAAATACATAGTCTTGTTCCCTGAGGTTATTCCTTACATGCAAGTATTATAAATACCTTGAACTTTACCTGAATCAAGTAAGTTTTTATTCATTGAAAGCAGTAAACCTGAATCAAGTAAGTTTTTTATTCATTGAAAGCAGTAAACCTTATGTCCCAAAGCATTAACTCTGTTAAGACAGTTGTCCTGGATCTCCCACTCTCTTTTCCCCTGGTCACAAGTACTTGAATTCTGGCTTTAACCAGAGGCATCAGGAATGCAGGCTGGGTTGTTATCTGATGTTGTGCCCTAACTACTACAGAGTGAGGTTCTTTCCATCTTTCTCTGGTTGACAGTAACTTCTACCTTGATCTTAAAAATTTCCCTAGATAAATTCTCACTGGAAAAGATCTCAAGAATTTAATTGGTCCCTTATGAAAAAAGAAAAAAACAAACAAAAAACCATACAACTTTAGACTAAAGAATTCCCTTTTTTGTTTTTACTATGGCATCATGAACATGGCATCTTGGATGTCAGCAACGGTATCTCAGGAAAGCAATTTATTATTCAGGAAAACTCTGTCAGTTTAGGCTTAACAATTAGTTTTGTGCAAAAATACAATCTCACAATAATGACATCTATTAAAAATATCTATGCCTAAAGAATTATTTTACCAATATAAGGCAGAACTGATATTTATTGTCAGTAATCTAATGCAGCATCTTTATTTTGCTCCTCTCCATCCCACTGTAAAAACGCAGTAAAACACTCAAATGTGCACTTTCTAAAAAGCTCAAATTTAAATAAATGCACTGCTAGTAGAACTCAAGTGTTCCCTAAATTATAAATGTTGTCTTAATGTCTTCAGTAAATAAAAAGCATCCAAACACATATCTCATGAGAATTTAGCAAGTAATCAACATGTGAATATGGAAATAAAGTATCTCAAAACCAGGCCCCATCCTGAAGCAACACATTCTTAGCAGACAAAACAGCACCTGAAGCAGGTGAAGGGGGGATTTTTCACACATTAAAAAAACAAGTATGTGAGCTGATTTGCAAACTAATTTCTAATAACTTGAAACTCAACTCAGAAAAACATATCCATAATAGGATTTTCTGAAGAAGGCATGAATTTTCTAACTGAAAAGTAAAATGTGAACATGAATATTCGAAGTAACATTCCCAATTTATCAAGTATCGCATTACCCTTTTTGAAATCATAGAGAAAGAGCCGTGAGAAATCCCAGCAAGGTGCTAAAGGCTCTGCATCTTTAAATATCTCAAAAACATGGAAATCCTTATACCACTATGATGTTTCACATTTCACAGGGAACTATTCCTATAAAGGGCTTTTGAAATCCTCTGTTTCTTAAAGTTAAAGTAAATATATCTTCTTATATATCTGAATATATCTTCTTATTTCATTACTGCACAGGAGTAAGCAATACCTCTTCTTATTTGGCAAATCCATCCATACATATAATCACAGTGCCTGTCATTCCAAAGCATGCTGTAATCACCACTGATCTCTGTACAAAGTTCAGCTCCTTGATAATTATTTGGCTCTCCAAAGCCCCAGTTTTCATACCTCACCTACGACAGAAGAAGTTTTGTGAAGATTCTGTTATATGGAAATAAAATAAGGGAGAGAGGGAGGAGACAGCATCAAAGCACAGACCTAAAAATTGTTCCTATTGTCAGGTTAAAAATTTAGGTATGAGAAAATCAGAATTCTCCTGTTCAAATGGTGAAATTTCAAACTTTTTTTCAGATAGCAAATAGATTGCAGCTTAAGTAACAGTTATTTTTGTTCACACTGGGAAGAATATCAATATTTTCTATGGGACCTAAATTCTAAAAAATACATTTAATAACAATATTGTGGCACGCTACATTTTCATATTAATTAAATACACAATATGAGTAAAACAGGATATTATTCAGATATAATGAAAATGTTGGCATTTGCCTGAGCAAAGTATTGCTGCTATTCTAATTTTCCTATATAAAATGAAATTTCAGGTGTCTGTACTGTAAATTGCCATCAATATATATTGACCAACCTTGCATCAAGTACTCCTTCAACTCTAAAGTCACTATTGCTTCTACAGTTTTATACCTTAGTTTAAAGTCCAGCAACTCAAACTAGCATTAAAAAAGTGTCTCTATCTCCATGGAATGTAAACCATGGATACGCAGATAATAAGCAAAGAGAAGAACAACTAAAGAAAAACTACTTTATACAAAAAACCCTTGCATTTATCAGAACATCCTTTTAGTGTACATGTGTTTAGTTTCCTTGTTGATTCAATATGTATCTTCTTATCAAAAATCAGTATGTTTTAGCCAAGAAAAATCAAGCCATGAACTTTATATTCATTAGCTTTCCTAGAGAAAGCAGGATACAGAGGGTTGTGATTCACAGAAACCCATATTCTGAACACACCTGAGAAGCACAGGGAATGCAAAATAATAGCTGTGGAAAATTTAATTACTCACTGGAGATCCATCACTCCAAGCAAAGCCATCATCAGGATTCAAGTAATATAAACCCATCCAGAAAGTCTGGTGGTAATAGCCATTGTTTCTAAAAAAAACCCAAAAAACAATACTAATAAGTGCATTAAGGGCATTACAATATGTTTTACTATCTATCATTTAGTACAGTTAAGAGTTCTCTTAGGAGAACTTAATGCTGTTAAAAACAATAACAACCAAGGTGAAGATAAATTAAAATGCAGTTGTTTCTAGTTGTTATCATTATAAATTAACTCAGATTGAAATACAGATCAAGAAAATTACCTGTACATACAACTCCTGTACATAAAGTGGCTTAATACTTTTGTATAATAGTTCACTGGCTACTGTTGCTCCATTTCTCAACTCCTCATTTTCTCTGTAAAGGCACTTGCAGTTTTCAGAGAGTTACTTTCTGCAGTTAAATCATTCTAAAAATATCACCTCCAACTAATGAAGACACACTTTATTGATTTACCTGAATATATTCAGTCAATTTGTGACAACAAAGCATCTGAGACCTCTTCCTTACTGTAAAAACACAGCTAGGATTCTACTATGGTCATAGCATTTTGCAGGGGCAGGATGTTTCAGTCTTGGTTAACCAGGGATGTACAATTCTATTAAACTGTTACCATTTTTGTACACTTACTTGAAAACAACTGGCATCTGTAGTAATTTTATAACATCAACAACTCCACAGTAAATAGCTTTACTTCAGATGATAAATGTTGCATTAACTAGATACCTTGCCAATGCCATTTCAGCACTAGCTTTTGAGGTTCTTGCTGCTAGTCATACAACTCCTGCTATTTCATCAGCTCTATGCTTTTTCTCTCTGACACAGACACAGATACAGAACGCAGACTGGCTTATACAGAAGTAAACACATACACCTAAGAAGAAATATTTGAGAAAGATGAGGAGGCTAATTAGAGTGAGCTGCCGACCAGCCACGCTGCGGATACTCACGCGATGGAACGCCATATCGCGTTCTGCTCCTCTTTGCCGTTAATGGAGGCCAGATCTCCTCCTATGGATCGGCAAAACTCCTGCGACTCCAGCCATGTCTTCTTGTGCTCTGCTCTTGAAAAAGGCTAAAGAGACCATCAGACAAAACAGACCATATAGGTCACAAGATCAAGAAATATTAGCTACCCAAAAGCAATTAATTTACAGCTGTATTCTGTGGGGATTACAGAAACTCTGAGTACAGGGTTTAGGAGTGTTCTCTGTGAAACACAGCTTGGAATGAACTTTTTAAGTCAAGTTAGTGCATTGCATTGCTGGTAGGAGCAAGACAACAACCTTAAGCTTAACAGGACTGGAAATTAAGAACAGAAGGTCAAACCTGAAGGTTATTCTTTAACAGAATAAACAAACCCATGAGCATTTCAGTAGAAAGGAGGGAGACTTCTATATATAATGTGAAAAAAAGATTATGAAACAGTAGGACACAAAAATACCAATTTTTATTGGGATCACAGAATATTCTGAGTTGTAAGAGACCCACAAGGATCATCAAGCCCAACTCTTAAGTGAATGACCCATAAAAGGATCAAACCTGCAACCTTGCCATTATAAGCACCATGCCCTGACAACCTGAGCTAATCACATGTATGTGAAGCAAACAGAAATTACCTTAACGCAGAAATAATGAACATACTTACTTTGAAACAGAAGCTAATATGATTGCTTGATTCCCAACCTTCTGGACACTGGGGAATAGGAGTTGTTGTGGGAACAGGTGGAAGTGTCACTCCTTCTGCCCACATTTTGCATATGAAATTTGCCTTTTCTTCACATTTTACTACATCCCATAATCCACCTGCTATTCCAGTCTTCATGGCAACACAACCTGGCTTTCTTCCTGATTGTAAACAGGAATGCACAAAAATGCCATTTAGGGTGTTAGGAGAAGCTAGAAAATTTCATATTCTATCCTGGCAGAAATAAAGTTGTTGTACATAGTCAAAAATGTTTCTAATGTTAGAGTAGGTGCCCAGTAGAATCATAAAAGTCATCAGAAGGCTGTAACACCTCTCCCACAAAGAGAGGCTGAGGGAGTGGGGCTGTTCAACCTGAAGAAGAGAAGACTCCAGGGAAACACTACCATGACTACTCAATATCTATGGAGTGCTCATAAGATGAAGAATGACTTTTTACTGGAGCTTATAGTGACAGAATAAGGGACAACCATTTTAAAATGAAAGAAGGTAGATTCAGAATGGGCATAAGGAATGAATTTCTTTATTATGAATGTAGTGAGTAACTGGAACCTGCTGCCTGGAGAAGTTGTAGATGACTCATCCATGAAAGTTCTCCAGGTCAGGTTGGGTGAGGATTTGATCAACTTGATCTAGGGGAATGTTTCCATGGCAGGGGGTGGGTACTAGGGGATCTTTAAACGTTCTTTCAACACAAACTGCTCTGTCATTCTATGGTTCTAATTAATGAATTTTAAAAGAAGACAAAAAAATCTTAGCTCATCTACTCTGACATACTAAATTATGCCTCATACCAAATCACCTACAGTGACTAACTCTAGCTAGATCATAGCCTTGGATCCAACAAATTCTCCCCTAAAACTGAAGATGTGGTTAGAGTTACTTTCTCAATTTTTTTTTTTAATTTGACTTACAATTTTCAAAATTAACTAGGTAGTTAAGACTACTATTGGCTTCACGGTCTACATGGCCTTACCACCTCACCTGACACATTCAAACCAGCAATTAGGTACTGAAATTAAACAGAATCAGAGGACCTCCTGAAAGGCATATGCAACATTCCAGAACTTTGAACAACAACAATCACCCCCTTTCTGATGTGATCATGTCAGAGATTAAATGACCTCCCATTGCTGCATTTTGGCCTTCTTGTCCTACCTTACATTCCCATCTTCTCTAGGACTCAGAGATGCTTCATGCATCTGTGATCCCGCACACTCAGAACGTGCAGTGAACAAGTGAGCCATGAGATATGGCTGGACAGGCAGGACTCGCAAGGACGGTCACTTGAGATTGCTCCTCCAGAGCAGTACGGACACAGACTTCCCCAGAACAGTTGCAAATCAGAAACTTGATCTCAATGTAAAGTTTCTTCCCAAAGTCATACCAAAAACTCATTTCAGCACTAGGCAGCAACTTAGCAACCGTGCTGGATTCCTGGGGAAAGCAGCTGGATGTATTTGAAAGCCATTGGCCATTATGTCACCAAGACAGTGCTAAGGAAAAACTTCAAGCACTGAGCGACTCATTTCCCTAGCTGAACTCATTAAACAACACAGAGTCATACCTACCAGGCATTTCAGAATTCCAGTGTGTAAATAAGACAGATTCACCATTAGCCCATTTGAACATTCCCTTTTCTTCTACATTTGAAAGTCCAATCCAAAAGTATCTTTCTGTTCTCAGCCCAACCAGGCTGGTTAGATAGGCTTGTTCATATCTGTTTAAAATAAATCAGTCAATAAATTAATGCTGTTAAAATTGTTTATATTTATGTTAAATTTATATTTATATTTATGTTAAAATTATTTATATTATTCATACTGTTAAAATAATTTATTTTTTAAAGTTGTGAAAGGCTTGTTATTTTCTCAGAATTACTGCTGCACCTTCCTGAAAGCATAGCTTGGATGGATTTTCTTTAACAAAGACTATAACAAAACCATTAAATAATAGTTATTTTTTTAGCTTCCATATCAGTGTGTTTTGCTTTCTTCTCAGATGCCCAGTGAATAATGTGGCTTAATCATGGACCAAGAGGAAACTGGTGGTAAAGAAGAAACCTGACATGCCTTATGTTTTATACCACTGTATTTTGTGAGTTTCTAGCACTCCTGTATTTTATTACTTCTTGCTTCAGACAATCTGAAAAAAGAACCTCAGCATTACTGAAGAAAGCTACAAAAAGTAGAAGCTAAAGTAGTATGATACTAAATTATAAAACAAAGTCACACCGTAAATTAGATCCAATGATTAAGCAAGACAATTATATTTAGCAAACAAGCCTATGTAGAGGCAAAGTCTGTCATAGTTCACTGTGGTGTTTAGACAAACAGCTCTNACACAGTTTTCATCATTATTTGCAAAGTTTGGTTCATGTGGTGCCCATGCCAAATAATTCACTGGAGTGCCATCCATCCAGCTGAAGAAAAACAATCCAACAAAATGCTTCTTTAACATAAAATAGAACTTCTTCCATGTTAAAGAAGCAATTTTTCAATATGCTTAATATAGCTGTTCATAGTAAAGTGTACAAATTGCCTCTTTACTAGTTGTATTAAACTTATTCTCTGCTCAATGACATACAAGGTAACATACAAACATTGAAAAAGATGAACATTCATGTAAGATTAGGCAATGAAGAACAAAATTGTAACCAGGAAAATTATTAAACATCTTTCTAGTGGTCTGCAAGTGACAGAGGTACCCAGGTTCATCCTTCAGACACATGCACAAGGTACTTAAAAGTATATCCATCTTAGGGTCTCTACAAAACCAGAAAGGCAGAAACACCTCATTCTCAGAGGCTCACCTAACATCCTAATCATCCTCTGGAGGTCCCTCATTGTTACTGTGGACTATAAGAAGAATTGAGAACTACTAGGCATCTCTCCAGACACTTCAAACACAGACTGAACCGAATCTGAATAAATATCACATGCCAAAACCACTATGGTGCTGCATACTGTCATTCAGAAAGGCTTGCAGAAAACCTGCTTGACCTCACTGTGCAACAGCTATGATGGTTCTAGTAAAAGAAAATAGGTTTCATTTCTTCCTTTATTAGACTCTGTTCTCAAGTTAAGGATGGGAAAAAGGAACATTTTTACCTACCAGAGGTCTTAGATATTTACAGCTCAGACATCGATTTGTATTTTCAGTATAAATCACAGAATAAAGAAAACTAGAATTCCCAAATGAAAATTCAAAATACACTAGGTGCAGTGTAATTTTTCATCTGCCTTTGAGTGAATTTAGGAAACATGAAATATTTCTTCTGGATAATCTAGACCTAAATTAAGATGTAATTAAATCACTTGAGAAGATAATCATGTTTAAGGTTCAAGACTAGCTATGACCTACCTGGTACGTTGGTCAATACTCAGTTGTAAACCAATGAAATATGCATCCTCTTTGCCATTTTTCAGTATCTAAAATGAAGAAATTAGTATTTTACAAATGTCCTCTATTGTCACATAAAATGTTACTGATGGGTAATATACCTCTAACTGACAGAGGATATGAACTGGATATATTCTCCAGCTACATTTAAGTTAAAGCAGCTCACAGCAGTCCACAGTCAAACTTCACCATTGGTCAAAAGGTGTGGTCACTGTATCAACACTTCTCACAGCTTGACTTGAAAGCCACTGAAATCAGCACCTATTGCACAGTCTCTGCAGTGTACTTTATCTCACTTGCAAAGTGAGAAAAAAAAATTTCTTGCAAAGACAAGCCCCTATGTTTTGGATATAAATTGATACATGTCCTTGTGTCTTCTCACTGTCACTCTTCAGTCAGCTCAGAAAATGCTCTATGTAGTTCAAATACAACTTTTAAGCATATTCCTGATTAAAAATGAGTTGGCCTCAGGCAGCATAAAAAGCAAATCATTCCAATGATATAGGAAATAGGATTTCAATTTTTTTTTCTCATGGCATAATCCATGCCCCAGTTTCCTCTAGCTCCATAATTATATTTTCACAACCAAGGAGGCAAAGGAGCAAACTTGAGGACCAAAAAGAGACCACTAGATAGGCTATAGCCCAGATAAACAGACAAGATCTAAAGTCTTGTTAACACTTGTTAGTGTTGCATGTAAGTCAATTTCTGCTTTGATCCACTACTTCAGAAATCCTACACAATCACGGCTCACCAGTGTAACACCTTTTGCTAAAAAGAAGCCACAGATCCCTTAAAAATTAGCATTAATTTGTTCTTCATACTAATCTGGCTTAGTGTAACTGCAATTTCACCATCAAAATTTGTAGGAAAAACACCTTGGTGGAAAGGATTTGTGCCCATGCTCACTTGTTTTGCATGGTTTATACCATAGTATTAATGGTTTTTCTTACATATCTCCAGAGGAACTTCCTTTCACTTTCACTCTCAATGACAGAAAGGTCTCCAAAGTTCTTTTTGCAGAACTCACGACCCTCTTCCATAGGAGCAGTCTCTGTGCTGAAATAGTACTGTTTATCTTCATGTATGATCCATCCATCCTCAGTAGTCTTGTATTCTGTAAGATAATTGCCAAGCTAACTATACAGATCCTGAGATACAAGACATCCTCCTTGATAAAATTTTAACAATGCTTTTGAACACACACACACACAAAGAGCAGTA